GCTGGCACGCCGACATGGGGAAGGCGCGGGGCAACGAGGTCGCCGCGGCGGTGCGGGTGTCGGCCGAGATGGACTTCTTCCGCGGGGAGGTCGGGGAGAAATGGGCCCCTTGCATATTCGACGACGGGGGCCTCTCCGACCAGCGGCCCCGCGTGCTCAAGGTGCGGGCGGGGAAAAAGATGGTTGTGACCGCGTTGCTCGACGCTGGTGTTATCCCGCGCGCGTCCTGCGTGGTGCGAGATGCCTCCATCGATCGGGGGACCTGCACGGCCTCTTTTCCCCTTCCGCCGCAGGCGTTCTTCGACCCGACACAGGTGCAGGCGATGACCTATGTCAGGTGGGGCGCGGCCAAGTTCGTGCGGGGCCAGGCGAGGTTCGGCGGGGAAAACGAGTACAATGCGTCCGCAGAGCCGTCGCTCGAAGACTGGGCATTCGCCGTCACCAGTAGCGACAATGCGAAGAAGACGACGCAGTTCCTCATCGACATGATATTGCCTGCCTTCCCCAAGCACTTCTCCAGCAGTCAGATCGGGGCGATGCTGAAGCGGTGCAACATCCTGCTGAACACGAAGACCGCTCTGTACTTCCGCCCAGCTGGCCAGGGTAGCGCTGTCGAGAAGTACCCGCTGTACGAGGGGTGCTTGAAACCAGATGCAGGCAAGGTTCTCTGGGCGTACCTGCAGGACTCCAGCGTTCGCCGCGATGCCGAGGAGTTCGGCCGTCTGCTCTCGTTCGAAAAGAAGGACATGGCCGATCTCATGGCGAAGCACATGAAGTCTGCCCGCGCCGCCGCCGCGGCGCTTGAGCGCGCAGCCGAGAAGGGCGATGCGGAGGCGGCCGCGGGCGCGCCAGCGGTGCCCAGCCCCCGTGATGATTTCGACGAGCATGACTTCTTCGGCGACGCCCCTGAGGCTGCTCCAGTTGTGCCGCGCACGCCAGAGGCGGCTCCGACCAAGCGCATCAAGCTGGAGCCTGGCGTCTGGAAGAACCTGAAGCTCCAGCCAGGCGCCTGCATCGACCTCAGCACCCCTTCGCCTAAGAAGCGCGATATGACGCTGGAGAGAGAGGCAGCTCGAGCAGATCCTGGATGAGGAGGGGCAGAGGGGTGCCGCATCGTCTGCGAGCAGCGGGGCCCAGGCTGCGTCAGCGTGAGGCTCAGGCTGCGTGAGCGCCTGGTCAGCAGAACACGGGCAGCGCGCGCGCGTGTGTCTCGGGCGTAGGCGCACGCATGCGGCCGCGGTCGCAGCTGCGCTAATTCGCCCCAGATGGGGCGCCCGCTTGCCGCGCTGCCCGTTCCGAATTCGCGCTGCGTCGCTCTCGTGCGTGCAACTGCCTTGCAAAGCGCCACAGACCGCGCGACGGTTTCGGGCGCATTCCGTTGCGCCCCAGATGAGGCCGTCGTGCGCCGCTCTGTTGTCAGCTTTCATGATTGCAGCGACGTCTGGAGAAAAAATAATAAAAACGGAGCGCGTCTGCGGAGTTGCATTCCTTGCGCGGCCGTGGGCCAGGCATGCGTCGTAGCAGCGTTTGGCTATCAGGTCAGAGCGCGCGGTCCGCCCCCCTCGCGCGACCGCGAGCGATGTCTCGGTTCTTCCCGCTTCCCAAGAGGGGCAAGGCCCGCGCAGCCATGGCGCCGCCGCGCTCTCGCATGAAGGCAATGAAGACGCCCATGAACGCAATGAAGGCGCCTGCGAAGGGCCGCGCCGTCAAGAAGACCATCGGCAAGAAGGTTGTCCCACCAGAGACTGCGCCTTGCACTCGGCACGGCGCCGCGGCCCTTGCGAGGGGTCGCAAGGACAGGGCTGCGCGGGCGAGCTGCGTCAAGGACTTCGTCAACCGTTCTGAGAAGTTCGTGATTGACAAGCTGCGCAGAGAGAGCATCGTGCCGAAGTGGGAGGGGGCGACGTGCCCTCACTGCGGCGAGGGCGTCTTGGGGCCTCTGAAGGACCACGGGGAGAAGAAGGGCGGGTGGGGGCACCGTTGCAGCCGCGATTGGTGCACTCGCCACGTGGCGCCGCATGATTTCCATCCCATTTTCTGCAAGGGCACGGGCCAGTCGTTCTCGTCTCTGGCAGACCAGTCCGCCATCCTCTTCTGCGCGGTCGCAGGCTGTCCACAGACGACCACGCGCCTCCTGGCGCGGAGGAACCGCAAGGCCGTCGAGAACATCTACAACTCGCTCCACGCTGCGCGCGCCGCGCACGTGCGCGCCACTGAGCCGAAGATCAAGTTCGGCGAGGGCGTGGAGTGGCCAGACGTCGAAGCAGACGAGGTGGACCTGGGCAAGATGGAGGACCCCGGCGCGGGGCCCCGCACTGCGACCCCCATCATTTGGGAGCAGCGGGGCGGGATCGTGCAGCGTGGCGCCCCCGAGTCTCTTGTGCTGTTCCGCCTCCAGCCGAAGAAGACCAAGCGTCGGGCCCCAGGCCCTGGGCCCATCCGCAAGGCGGATTGGGCGCCCCTCTCGAAGAAGTGGCTGAATAACAGGAACGTTATCTTCCACACGGACGGCGCGCGGTCTTATAAGCTGAAGGAGCAGGGCGTCGTCCACGATTGGGTCGCCCACAAGAAGAAGAAGGCCAAGGTGAAGGGCAAGTGGGTATGGCTTAAGCCGTCGCACAGCAAGAAGCGGTACCACGACGCCCCCGACCCGCTGAAGGCTGGCGCCAAGAAGAGGATCTGGGTCAAGACTGGCACGCAGATCATCGACGGCGTCTGGCGCGAGCTCCGCCGTTTCGTCGGCAAGAACAAGGCCGTCGGCTCCGCGCACCTCATGCAGAAGGTCCGCAGCTTCCAGTGGGCGCACTGGAACCGCGGCAAGGACCTCTGGCACGAGACGGGCGCCATGCTGCAGGAGGCCTGGAGTCAGAAGCACGGCTGGTGAGCGATGGCTCAGGTCGCGCGCGCGTGCCCGCGCGGAGTCGCCGTGCATGGCGTTGGCGCGAGCGGCGTGGCACTATGATGTTTGCTTTAGCAAGCGCCCCCAGGGATCTGCCTAGCCTTGCTGCTGCCGCTGCTGCTCCCCGTGATCCTCCGCCCTCTGCGATTGCGAACGGTGGCCTCATATATATATTCCTCCTCTTGCCCTGTGCAATACTGTTTCTAGTATTCGCGCCGCATCTCCCATGCAGCCGCTCAGTTCGTTTCCGCGTCACTGTGTGTAGTGCGCATGCTTTTCCCTGCGTGGCATGCTGCAGCGTGCCCCGATTCCTTCTCTTAGTTTTCCTCAGCCTTCTCCCCCTCCTCCCCCTCCTCCGCCTCCTCCTCCCCCTCCTCCTCCTCTTCGTCTGCCTCGCCCTTCCCGTCCGCCTCCTCCGGGGCCCAAGAGGCACCGAACCGTGTGATTTCATTGGGATGCTTGGGATTTCTGGGATGAGAAACCCAGAAACCGTGTCATTTCACAGGGATGCTTGGGATTCCTGGGATTCTCCACCCTCCGACACAATTCCACCCTGAAGCTCCCCAGGATTCCGAATCCCAAGCATCCCTGAATTCACAGGGATGCTTGGGATTCGCGGCCTTGGGGAGGGGGGGGGGGGGCCCTGGGTAGATTATTGTCGGAGGTAGGAAATCCCAGGAATCCCAGGCATCCCTGTGAAATCATAAGGTTTGTGGGATTAACATCCCAGAAATCCCAAGCATCCCTGTGAAATCACAGGGTTCGGTGCCTCTTGGGCCCACTGTGTGTGCAGAATGCTCGCCACAAGCTCAGGGTTCCCTCATTCGGGGGAAGGCGCCGTGTGCATGTTCTACAGTGCGCTGCCGTTAGGCGTTGGCCAGCCTTGCGGCCAGAGCGCGCGCGAGTGGAGTCGAAAAAACGCCCCCGCTGACGCCAGGGGAAGATGTAAGCGAGGAAGGGGAGGGAAAGGAAGGGGAGTGAAAGAAGGAAGGGGAAGGAAAGGAAGAGGAGTGTAGAACATCGCCAAGAGAAAGAAGGCGATGAATGGGTGCTGGGGGGGGGGGGGGGGGGGGGGGGGGGGCTGGCATATATATACACAGAAGAGTCGAGAGAGAGAGAGAGAGAGAGAGAGGAGAGAGAGAGAGAGAGAGAGTGGAGAGAGAGAGAGAGAGAGAGAGAGAGAGAGAGAGAAAGAGAG